CTTGGGCGGGCGCGGTATCATAGCAACGCCGGCAACAGTAGACACAATGATGATAATAGCGATGCTGGTGCCGATGTTGGCACCGACGAAGGCGCGGCCAGGGCGGGCGCCGATGCTGATCATGCCGACGACGATGACGGCGTCCTTGCGTCGGTGATGGAGGTCGTGGAAAGAGTTCGACATGCGCGCGCGGCCGACGCGCGAGAGTGGCCCGCAGGTTTTTTTTGCAGTTGACACTTTTCGGGCCCCCCCAGCGCGCGCGCAAGGGCGTGCGAATGATGTTGGCATGCGGCGCCGGAGGCCCGTCTGGCAGGATTCTATTGACATTTTGAAAAACCGATGGTTGTTTCAAGGATGCGCAAGAGCGCGATCGCACGCGTTTTTTTTTTTTTTTTTTGAACATCAATTTTGCGAAGCCAAGCGATTTTTGTTTATGTTGTTTGGGGCATTCGGTTTTGGCATCGCTACGAAACGGAAGGTTGTTGACGGATTTCGGCATGCGCGCGTGACGACGCGCGCGCGCATATCGCCGCATTTGTTGTAAAGGGTTTTCGAGACGGCGCGCGCGCAAGGGCGTTCGAACGATTTCGACGTGCGCGCGCGAAACCCATTCGGTAACATTCTTCAGCATGTTGAAACAACTTGTGGCCAACAAATTCGTAAGAGCGCGCGCGCAATTCTGGTGTTGAGAATCCGTGTTGCGAAACCATGTGTGCTTTAGTTGTTGTTTGGATATTCGATTTTGAAACCGTTGTGACGACGACGGTTTTTGAATGATTTCGGCATTCGCGCGCGACGACGCGCGCGCGCACTTTGTCCCTGTTGTTGCAAAGGAGTTCCTGAACATTGATGGCTCTTGATAAACAAAGTGCGCGCGCATAGTACTTTTGGAAATGATGACGGGGGAGGGGCGAAACCTGCCTACTTGGGATGGTACGAGTTCATATTTGGCATGGACGGTGGGGCAGAATCGTATACAACTTACAATGCGAAAAAGGGGGGCCGATAATACCGGGGGTGGGGAGGTGGTGGAATCAATTCCTCCTCGTCGGAAGGAGAACATACACGGCGTAAGCTGTACATTTGGGGCAACCTATGTGGTGCAATCCACTTTGCCGAACTTGGAGCTGTCAACTCCACTGCTCGGGCAATCATTCCACCCGCCCACCCGCAACTTGGTTTGCAAAACCCACGCGGCGGCGATTGCGATGAGTGCCCCGTGTTGGCTGGTGCATCTTTGCGGCCGCGCCATCCCGCGCATGCTCGCACGCGCCGCGGCCAGCTAGTGTGGCGAGACCGACGCGGCCGCGGTGGCGCTGACCGATGGACACTTCCAGCGGGCGTTTCAGTGCGATTTGGCGACTTGGACGGGTGCGATATCATGGCAACGCCGGCATCGGTCGACACGACGATGATCGTAGCGACGACGACGACGATGCAACGACGACGACGATGACGACGCCGACGACGACGACAAAGACGACCCCGACGACGACGACGACGTCAACGACGCCGACGACGACGACCACGACGACGACGGCGGCGACGACGACGATGCCGACGTCGACGACGACGAACACGACGACGACGACGACGAGGGAAGACGACGACGAAAACGACGACGACGTCGCCAACGAAGACGACGACGACGAGGGAAGACGACGACGGCGACAACGACGACAACGACGACAACGACGAGGGAGGAGGGAGGACGGCGACGACGCGAACGACGAAGAAGGAGGAAGGACGCAGACGACGACGTTGACAACGACAAGGGAGGAGGGAAAACGACGACGACGACGACAACGACGACAACGACGACGACGACGACGGACGACGACGACGACGACGACGAGGGAGGAGGAGGAAAGACGACCACGGCGACAACGACGACGGAAATGACCACGACGCCAAAGAGGACGACGACGACGACGAACACGAGGAAAGACAGAGGACGACGTAGGCGACGACGACGACGACGACGCGGGAGGAGGGAGGACGGCGACGACGACGACGACGACGACGCAAAAGCGCGCGCGCACGCTTTTGTTGAAAATCCGTGTCGCGAAACCTTGTGTTTTTGTAGGTTTATTGGACACACGATTTTGAATTCTTTCCGAAATCGATGGGTTCTGAAGGATTCCGGCATACGCGCGCGACGACGCGCGCGTCTGCACTTCGTCCCATATTTTTGCAGAGGATTTTCGCGACGGCATACGCGCAAGGGCGTTCGACAGATTTGAAGGAGCGTGTTCTACCGGTGCTGGCGGAAAACGAGGGGGGTCACTACCGGTTCGAACCCCCCCCTCCTGAAAACCGGGGAGGGGGTCACTACCGGTTCGACCCCCCCCCCAGCCCATCATGAAAAGGGGGGGTCACTACCGGTTCGAAACCCCCCTGCCCCCCCTCGAAAACCGGGGGGGCGTACAGTGGTGGGGACGGTGGTGGTGGGGACAGTGGTGAGGGGACAACTGGACAGTGGTGGGGACACTGGGACAGTGGTGGGGACGGTAGTGGTGGGGACAGTGGTGAGGACAATGGTGGGAACAGTGGGGACAGTGGGACAGTGGTGGGGACGGTGGGGGACAGTGGTTTTGGGGACAGTGGGAACGTGGTGGAAAAAGTGAGACAGTGGAGGGTACATTGGTGGTGGGTACAGTGGTGAAGGCGGTGGCGAGGACGGCGGTGGGACAATGGGACAGAGGCACAGTGGGGACAGTGGTGGGGACAGTGGTGGGAACAGTGGGACAGCTCAGTGGGACAGCGGAGGAGTCAGTGGGACAGTGGGGACAGTGGGGATAGTCGGGCAGTGGATGGGGCCGCGGAGAAAGTGGGGAGAGTGGAGCCATGGTGAGAACAGTGGTGGGGACAGTGGGGACAGTGCGACAGTGGTGGGGGCACTGGTGGGGACAGTAGGGACGGTGGTGGAACCAGCGGGGACCCTGGTGGTGAGGACACTGGCGCTCGTTTGCTTGCGTTGAGGGGAGGGGGAAAGGGGTTCGAACCGGTAGTGACCCCCCTCCGGTTTTCGAGGGGGGGGGGGCTCGAACCGGTAGTGACCTCCCCCGGCGTTCGAGGGGAAGGGGGAGGGGGGAGGGGTCAGGGGAGGGGGGGGGTTTGCAAGGGGGGGGAGGAGGCGGGGTGGGGGTCCAGCAGGGGGGGGATTTTCGGAAGGAAGGGGGGGAACCCCGGACTCCGGAGGAAAAAAGTAGGAGTTTTCCACAGTAAAGCGGCGGTGGATCACGCATTCTTTCAGATTTCGATATGTGCGCGCGAAGCCCGTTTGGTAGCAGTTTGTGAACATTTTGAAACACCTATGGTTTTTTTTCTTAAGATTTCCCAAGAGCTCGCGCGGAAACTTTTTTAGCAAATCAGTGTTGCGAAACCCTGTGTGTTTGTATGTTCTTGGGGAAACTCGATTGCGAAATCCTGCTGGCACCGAGAGTTTTTGAAGGATTTCGGCATGCGCGCGCGACGACGCGAGCGTGCGCACTGCGTCCCATTTCTGTAAGGGATTAGTTAAACAAGTTTCATGCTAGAGCAAAACATGTTCCCGCGTATCGTTTTTTGTTGAAGGGAATCTCAGGGAGAGCGATACCGGTTCCAGTGGGATAGTGCAAATTCATATTTAGGATGGACATGTGGTCAGGATCATACATGATTTACATACCCGAAGAGGGGGGCCGATAACGCCCGGGGGGGCAGAGTTTATTCCTTTTTGGGAACGAAGAATCTATGTGGTGTCAGATGCATGTTGTGTACGCTATTAGGTGTAGGCTAGGTGGTGCAATCTGCGTGATGCAACAGATGTGGTGTACACTACGCAGTGTGAGCTACGCGGAGCAGCCTATGCGGCGCAGTTTCTGTGGTGCAGTCTATGTCGGGCGTCGACGAGGCGGCGACGAGGCGGCGACGGACGGTCGCAGGTTGGCCGAGGCAGGACCGTTGCTGCTTCTGTGTTTTGCCGTGGTCGCCCAGCGACCCGCCGCCGCGGCCCACCAGCGCCGCGGCCCGCCCGGGGCCCGCCCGCGCTCCCTCGCCTTTTATCCGCAGGTGCACACGTGTGATCGCTGTCTCGTGTGCGGTCTTGCCGATGGGCGCGGGCCCTCGCAAACCCCCCCCCTTCCGTGGAGCAGGTCTCGTCTGTCTTTGGCGCCTCGTTTCAGGCAGGTGGGGTTTCCACGGCAGCACGCACTGTTCGCGGGCGAGGTTCCCCCCCCATCCCCGGACTTCGCCCGAACAGATTGGCCGCTCAGAAAAATGGGAAGGCCCTGGGACACACCCCAAGGGGGCTATTCGGACGCACCCCTATCGAGGATGGACACCCCCCCATCGTATAGCCCAGGGTTGGGCCCAAAATTTTTGGTCCATTCGGAAACCCCACGAAGCTTGGGATAGGGGTCGACATATCCCCTGTTAACTGTTCCAAACAGTCGCATTATGCAGAAGTCTGGCATCAGACCCCGCCCCTTCCGCCCACCTGTCGCAACGCCGAATAGGAAGGAAAACGTTCGCTATAGCCCCCCGCAGTTGCGCATAAGAGCGAGAGCGCGCGGGTGGGTCGCGGCGCAGGTGGGTCGCAACGCTGGTGGATTGTGTAAGACCGTCCGGCTCCCTCGCTCTGACATGATTTCGTGTTGCCACCCTCTTTTCGGATCTCTCTTCCTTTCCGTTCTCGGAGCTTCCCCGTTCGCTTTCGGAATGGCCCACTGGTTTGCCCCTCCGACTTCGGTAGCAGGTCATGCGAGCCTTGTATACTCTCGCAGCTCGGTCTTCAGATTGCACTGGAGTCCATCAGCGTCTGGTAATCGATGAGATAGCGCCGATTCAGCGTCGATCTAGTTTCGACTATTGTCGAATTGGCGCCGATAAGCGTCGATTCGCAAGAGCCAGCACAGGATGGAATGGGAGGCGCCCAGGAGCTGCCGCAGAGCCCGACGTGCCCCGCGCCTCGTCCTCCGACGCCCCCTCCCGCCGGCCCCTTCGGCCCTGGCGCGGAGGCGGCGCCGTGATGCCGGAGGCCGACCCGGCTCCGCAGGCGATGTCCCTGAAGGAGTGCATGGACCTGTGCGTCGAGACGTCCGGCTGCGGAGGGCCCAGGGGGTACGAGTCCCTCAGGGCGTGATGACGTTTCGCCGATCGATTTGTGGGTATCGAGCCAGGTAAGCCCAGGCAAGTGCAGGTGAATCGAAGCAACTCCAGGTCAATCGTGGCATACCCAGGTAAATCCAGGGAGCTCCAAGGGAATTTGAAACAAATCGTTGCCGCTCCAGCGTGATTCGAGGGACGGCAGAAGTTGCCAATCCCTTACCGACAGAGGAGGAACAGTGGCACATGCCGCTACCCTTGCCTCGTTCTCGCCTTGTTGGGATTCCTGGGAGCCCCTCGTCGCCACCGCTTTTGATTCGCCTCGAGATTCTGGTCAGAGCGCCTCTGGAGGAGGTCCTAGGAGTAGCGGTATCACTACCTTTTGGTTTCCCCAGGGGGTGTCCGGAGGGCAAAGCCCCCCTATCCTCCCCCCTTTCATCCCCTTCCCCCCCGCCTCCTCCTCCGCCCCGCTTCCCTTATTTATTATATATATATATATATAGAAGTATAGCTCCCCCCTGTCGCACCCCTACACGTGTCGGTAGGACAGGCCAGGCGTTTCGGCGTTTCTCCCGGGACTTTTTCCCTCAGCGTTCATGAACATGCAGTTCGAAACGCGCAACAATTACACGAACGGGTGGGAACGGGTTTCAAAATGGGGTTCTCGATTCCGCGCGCATTTATTGCAAAAGGTTCGGACAGCCACCATGATGGTGGGGGTGGTTTTCAACATATTGTTCTCGCCACAACGCTGCGCATATCCGATTTGGAGGCTTGCATCAGTTATAAGGTCGTGTGTGTTGGCGTCCATAATGAAGTTCTCGCATCAGCGCCACGCACATTCGCCTTCCAAAACAGTGAGAATGGTAAAGCGCATGGTTTTCAACATGGTCTTCTCGCCATGGCGCCGCGCACATTCTGCCTGACAGTTCGCAACAGCTGCAAGGATAGTGGGGGGCTGTATTTCAAATGGAGCTCTCGCCGCAGCGCGTGGTGCATTCGTCTTACAGTTGTGAGGCGATTCCAGTGATGGGGGGCGGCTCCTTCTCAAATATCGTATTCTCGATCCAGCGCCGCGCACATTGGGCTCAAACGTTTGCATCAGTCACAGGGATTGACGACGTTTCCTGTGCTGGGTCCTCGTTTCGCATCAGTTGCTTGCCGCGTCATCGCCGCACCTTCTGCTCCACCTGTTCCCCCTGCTTCCTTCTCCCAGGCCTGCATCTGCTCTCCGCGTGTCTTCCTCATCATCGTCACCAATCTCATCATAATCACCATCACCCACCACCATCGACATCGTCGTCGTCATCGTCATCGTCAAACTCGTCTTCACCATCATCGTCGTCATAATCATCAGCCTCCTACTTCTCCCCATCCTCCTCTTAATCATCATCACCACCAACAGCATCATCATCATCGTCACCATCATCATAATCATCACCATCATCATTATTACCACCATCATCAGCATGCTCATTTCATAATCATCATCATTACCATGCTCATCATCATCATTATCAGTACCCTCATTATCATCGTCATCATCAGCATCACCATCATCCCCATCATCAATCTCAGCATCCTCATCATCATCATCATCATCATCATCATCATCATCATCATCACAACCATCATCATCAACATCGGCATCGCCATCGCCATCGCCATCATCGTCATCATCCTCATCCTTGTCCTCATACCTTCATACTTCACACTTCGATGCACCCGTCACGCACTTCGTGGCCCCATCATGTGCTCCACCGAAGGCTTCAGTTGCAGTGTCCGCATGGGGTACCCGCCCCATTTCGGCACACCTCACACGATGCGGGGCCCCATGGAGAGCTTCACCGAAGGCCCCAGTGGCAGGGTCCGCATGCGATACCCGCCGAATTTCGGCACCCCTCACACGCTTCGTGGTCCCATAGGCATCTCCACCGATGACCCCAGCGTCAGTGTCCGCATGCGGTACCCACCCCAGTTCGGCACTTTCCTCACACGTTTCGTGGCCTTGTAGGGCGCTCCACCGAACGCCCCAGCGGCAGGACCCACATGGTGGCATCGCGCTCATGTCGGCACACCCATCTCACTTTTCGTGGCCCTATTGGGAGCTCCACCGAAGACTGCAGTGGCAGAGGTCGCATGCGGCCCAATATCGGCACACCCCTCACGCGTTCCGTGGCACTACACGGAGTTCCTCCAACGGCCCCAGTGGCAGGGTCCGCATGCGGTGCACACCCAATTTCGGCACACCTCTCACACGCTTCGTGGCCCCATGGGGAACTACACCGAAGGTCCCCGAGGCAGGGTCCGCATGCGGTACGTGCCCGCCCCATCGCGGCGCGCCCCTCGCACGTTTCATGTGTCGCCAGCGAAGGCATCCGTGCGTTCTTCCTCTGGGTTTGTGCACGACGATCAATGAAGAGGAGGCATGCTGCCAAGTGATTTCCAGATGTCTAAAACATGTGTCTAACATGTCTCAAACCTATAAGACAAGCATGGTTGAAGCATTTTTAAAACATGTTCAACCATGTTCAACACATGCTTAAGTCAATGATAGGACTGTTAGGGTGTCCACTGTCATGGCATCCACAACTGGCATCCACAACTCTGGGTCTTGCCTCGACGCGCCCGTGCGGTGTCTCTCAGCCGTGCTTCGGTGGGTATCCTTCGGGGCGCATTCGCGCGATTCCTCTGGGTCGTGCTTCTGAGCGTTTCCACTGGGACACAGTCGCGCGTTTCCCTTCGGTCGCGTCTCGACACGTCCTCGCACTTTGGCCCCTTTTCCACAGGGAGCTCCACCAAGGGCCTCCGTGGCAGGCTGTGCACGGCGGGCCCATTCTCAATGCGGTACATCTCTCACATGATCCGCGGGGGATGTTTGCGCCATAGTCTTTAGTTTCCCTCACGCACGTCTACGCCGCTTCGCCTTTTCGCGCACGCCCTCGTCATTCTGCTCGCCACCTCCCTTGTTGCCACCTGTTACGCGGTGCTCGCATCGGCGTGCTCCCAAATAAGTTCAAATTTCTTTAATCTAAAGGCCATGGTTTTGAGCTGGCCTTCGACACGGATGGAGGGCGATTCATCTTCACAATGGGGTTGTTCGTTTCAGATCTCCCCTGAATCCATGACCACAAGTGTAAGCTCGTGCAACAGATGCACGGATCGGGCAGTCATTGTTCAAAATCAGGATGATCAGATTTCTTCGCATGCCTTATCGTCGCAGCTCCGTTTCAAAAAGGGGCTCTCGCCTGAATGCCGGGCCCACAGGTCTAGTCTTTCAAGCTTCTTGCCACGGAGCGGATGGTTTGTAGGGACTTGCAAGGAGGGGGCTCGTGCCGGGAGGGTGCACTGCAGCATCGTTGATGCATCTTGGGTGTTCTCTGGTCCTCCCCCGCGCGCGCTCCCGCTCGCGCCCTACCCCTCCCTCCCCTTGCTCGCCCCCGCTCTCGCGGGAGGCGGTGGCAGGTCGGAACCCTGCTGCATGGGCGTAATCTCATAGCTTGGCGATTCCGCCGGGATTGGGACCGGGGCCCTCAAAGAGCGATCCGGCCCGAGAACTGCAGCAGAATGTTGGGGCTAGGGTTCCGGTCGTGATGTCCTGGCATGTTGTATCTCACGTGCATCCAGTGGTGTCGGGTCCTCGTTTTAAAATCCGCAGCGCCACGCCCCACATCCCTTCTCCCTCCTCACATCCCGCGGGTCTCCCCCGCCCGTCTTCCCCCCCTCGACGCCTCAGTGACTGTCTGTTGTATGCAGGCGTTTTTATTCCTATCGTACCGATGCGACCACCCTTCGCGTGATAAGGAGATTCAGGAGGTAAAGGAGGAGGGAGAGGGGGAGGAGGGAGGAGGAGGAGGAAAAGGAGGAGGAAGAGGAGGAGGAGGAGAAGGAAGAGGAGAATAGGGAGGAGGAGGAGGAGGAGGAGGAGGAGAGGAAGGAGGAGAGAAGGAGGAGGAGAAGGAGGAGAGGAGGAGAAATGGGAGGAGGAGGAGGAGGAGGAGGAGGAGGAGAGGGAGAGGGGGGGAGGAGGAGGAGGAGAGGAGGGGGAGGGGGAGGAGGAGAGGAGGGGGAGAAAAGAGGAGGGGAGGGGAGGACCGGGGGGGTGGGTGGGACGGGGCAGCCCCCCCAGGGCCCCCGTCGCGCTGCCAACAAAATTGCGAGGGAGCCGTCTCGGGCGAGTCTTCGGCCTCCCTGTGGGGGCCCTCGCTGGACGACTCCTTGGCCGGGTAGACGTTCGCTCCCCACCAAACCGCCCCAACCCAACCCGAAGGCCTCAATTTGCCCTCCATTTCCATTGGGGGGGGGGTCGGGGAACACCGAAAAAACACGTGGAGCCCATTCCCCCGCCCAACCCGAAATTCGGGTCTTCGTGTTGGGTTGGGGTGGTCTGGTAGGTAGTCAGACGTAAGACTCGAGTACGCCGGAACTCGGGTTTTGACGAGCGCGTACTTACTGCTGGAATGTGACGGTCCAGTTCTCGTGGGATGTTTCGAAGAATCAGAAAAACGCCATGAACATAAATGTTTGGCGCTCCGCGCGGATTTCTTTGAGCTGCGCTGGACCCCCCTCCCTGGCGCGCGGAGCGCGCCAGGGGCGGCGCCGGAGGCGCCGCCGGTGGGGGCCCAGCGCGGATCCAACAACTCCGCGCGGAGCGCCAAAAGTTTATGTTTATGGCGTTTGTTGTTCTTCTAATGCTTGCAGCTGGATTTCGCGTCCAAGCTTTTGAAGCTGGTTGCGTCACATTCGTTGCACCACTCTTCGCATTGATTGCATCCCCTAGCTTGCACTTCATACTTGACGTCCGGTAGAGTGTACTGCACAGCGTGCCTGACGTGCATCGCGCCGCGTAGACTGCACCAGCTACCTGGCAGCCGTGCAGGAGTCCCGAGTTTTGGGATACGCGCTGGCGAGCAATTCCATCGTGAGCCGACCGCCGAAGAACCTTACGCTCGACACCTCCGAGTCTCTTGAGGTCGGGGCCCTCGCTATAGATCCTCCATCCTTGCCCCCGCTCCCCGCCGTCGACCTCGGCTTGGGCGCCGACGGGGGATCGTTTTGTGCTTCTCCAGATAGGCTTGCTTGCAGGAATACTTGCTCGAGTCACAAAGGAATGGTCTACGAGTCCCCTGGCTCGATTCGGCGTCAGTCTATTGCAGTGGTTTCATTTGTTATTGCAATCGCGTCCTCTGCTGTTGTAATGGTTTCCTCTGGTGTTGCAATGGCCTCCCCTTCTACTGCAATGGCTTCCTGTGACTATTCCATCGGCGTTTCAACAATCGTCCAAGCACCGTCAAATTCATACATCGAGTAGAGCGGAGTAGAGTACAGTTGAGTAGAGTAGATGCGTAAAGTAGAGCAGACTAGAGAAAAGTATAGTAGATGAGGGGGTAGAGCGTTTTCCAGTAGGACGTAGTAGAGGAGAGCCGAGCAGAGTAGAACTAACGTAGAGTAGAGTAGAGTCGAGTAGAGTAGAGTTGAACATGTAGACCAGAGTAGAGTCGGAGTAGCGTAGGATTGCATTATGGTAGGGTAGGAGTACATTAGGATAGTGCAGATTAGGGAGAGACATTTTATTAGAGCGGAGCAGAGTCGGGGAGATGGTAGAGTAGAGTCGGGTTGAATGTATGATAGAGTGAGTCGATGAACGTATAGTAGGATTGAGCAGCGTAGGAGTAGCAATGAGTAGAGTCAGAGTAGAGTGGAGAAGAGTAGGGTATAGTCTACTAGATTAGGGTGGGGAAGGGTAGGGCAGAGTCAGAGTAGAGCAGGCTAGAGTCTAGAGTATCGCAGAGTAAGACTGGGTAGGGTTCATGGTAGGGTAGAGTCAGGTATAATAGATAAGAGTCGAGTGTAATTGAGTAGAGCGGGGCAGAGTCCATCCAAGTCCTGTCCAGTCCCTTCCAGTTCAGTCTTCTTCAGCCCACTCCAATCAGCTTCATTTCAGTCTTCTGATCTATTTGCCGTCTGCGCTTTCTGATATTTATCGTCTGGCGCGCAATGGTCGTTACCCGTGCCAAACCCCTCCCCCGGAGATCGGAAACACCAGTACGTATGGAGGGTTTGGACACCCCCTTTCATGCTGGTGCTCGCGCACATACTATGGCGATCGCAGCGCACCCTCGCCCCGATGTGTCCCACCCCGCCGAAGCGTCACCGTTACCCGAGGCCCCACCCTTAGCTCCCCAGATGACAACGGTTACCGGCAACAGTAATAACGAATAATCGGGGCAGCCGCACGGCGGCGGCCACCGTGGCGGCGGCGGCGGCGGCGCAGATGCGACGTGGGGCGGCACAGGCGGGGTGCAAGTCCAAGACGGTGGCGGTGGCTGCTGGTCGGCAGCGGGGGGGGGCCCTTCAAAAGTTGCCGCGCTGGGGGAGGAGAGGGCGGGCGCATGGAGGTCCGTGGGTACGAAAACATCGTTACCCCAGCGAACCACCCTGATAGCAGCAAACGTGAAGAGGCGGAGGCGGGTCGAGGAGTAGGAGAAGAACGGTCGGGAAGCCCTGAGAAAGAACAGATGCAGCAAGGACAGGGGCGAGAGCATGCTCGCGTATACCTTGGTGTAGTTTTCGTTGCCAGGGGTCGTTGCCGTTTGGACCATGCAGTCAGCCAGCATTGAGGCGCGAGCAGGAGTCTTGAATCTACTGTGAGGGCGTCTCAGTCGAAACAGCTGCCGGACCGGGCGTTCTAGCATTCCGTTTTTTTCTGTGGGATTGTTTTGGTGTTTTTTGTTCCCCACATTCTAAGTGGGGTTCTTGTTTTCTCTGCACACCCTCCGCGCAGGATCTCTCGTCCTCCTCCCTCTCCTCTGCTCCTCTTTGCTTCCTCCTCCGCATCATCATCACCATCACCATCACTCCCCACTCATCATCATCATCACCATCAGCATCACCATCACCATCGCACGATCACTCGCCATCATCGGCATCGAACGATCATCATCATCATCATCATCATCATCATCATCATCATCATCATCATCATCATCATCATCATCATCATCATCATCATCATCATCATCATCATCATCATCATCACTACTCGCTGACTCACCACTTCGTCCCCATCATCATCACCACCATTTACCATCAGAATCGCACGATCACTCACCATCAGCATCATCATCATCACGTCGTCATCATCACCACCACCACCACCATCATCATCATCATCATCATCACCATCATCATCATCATCATCATCATCATCATCATCATCATCATCATCATCATCATCATCATCATCAATCATATATCATCATCAAACACCGTCGTCATCATCCCATCACCATCATCCACCAAGAGGGAGCCTCGTCTGTGAGTGAATTGTGAGGACGCGTCAGGCGGGAGCCCCCTCCCTATGGGGCCCGCAGATCATGTTACTAATCCGAGCGGGTCATCGGATTCCTGTAACTGTCGTCACTTTTGGGCTCCTCAGGTCTGAATTTGGAGGAAGTCTCAAGCGGGAGCCTCGTCTGTGAGTGAATTGCGAGGAAGTCTCGGGCGGGAGCCCCCTCCTTATGGGGCCCGCAGATCATGTTACTAATCCGAGCGGGTCATCGGATTCCTGTAACTGTCGTCTTTTTTGGGTTCCTCAGGTTTGAAATTGGAGGAAGTATCAGGCGGGAGCCTCGTTTGTCAGTGACTTGCAAGCAAGTCTCAGGCGGGAGCCCTTTCCCTATGGGGCCCGCAGATCATGTTATTAATCCGAGCGGGTCATCGGATTCCTGTAACTGTCGTCACTGTTGGGCTCCTCAGGTTTGAGTTTGGAAGGAGTATCAGGCGGGAGCCTCGTCTGTGAGTGAATTCTGATGAAGTCTCAGGCGGGAGCCCCCTCCCTATGGGGCCCGCAGATCATGTTACTAATCCGAGCGGGTCATCGGATTCTTGTAACTGTCGTCGCTGTTGGGCTCCTCAGGTCTGAACTTGGAGGAAGTATCAAGCGGGAGCCTCGTCTGTGAGTGAATTCTGAGGAAGTCTCAGGCGGGAACCCCCTCCCTATGGGGCCCGCAGATCATATTATTTATCCGAGCGGGTCATCGGATTCTTGTAACTGTCGTCACTTTTGGCCTCCTCAGGTTTGAATTTGGAGGAGGTATCAAGCGGGAGCTTCGTTTGTCAGTGAATTGCGAGCAAGTCTCAGGCGGGAGCCCCCTCCCTATGGGGCCCGCAGATCATGTTATTAATCCAAGCGGGTCATCGGATTCTTATAACTGTCGTCACTGTTGGGCTCCGCAGGTCTGAATTTGGAGGAAGTATCAAGCGGGAGCCTCGTCTGTGAGTGAATTGTAAGGAAGTCTCAGGCGGGAGCCCCCTCCCTATGGGGCCCGCAGATCATGTTACTAATCCGAGCGGGTCATCGGATTCTTGTAACTGTCGTCACTTTTGGCCTCCTCAGGTTTGAATTTGGAGGAAGTATCCGGCGGGAGCTTCGTTTGTCAGTGAATTGCGAGCAAGTCTCAGGCGGGAGCCCCCTCCCTATGGGGCCCGCAAATCATGTTATTAATCCGAGCGGGTCGTCGGATTCTTGTAACTGTCGTCACTTTCGGGCTCCTCAGGTTTGAATTTGGAAGAAGTATCAAGCGGGACCCTCGTCTGTGAGTGAATTGTGAGGACGCGTCAGGCGGGAGCCTTCCTATGGGTCCCGCAGCTCACGTGGTTCCTCCAGGTCATCCTCCGGCGCGCGCTTCCTCTGGGTCGTCCTCCGGCGCGTATCGGCTGGGACGCACGTCGTGCGCTTCCTCTGGGTCGTGTTCCGCACGAGGACGAGGAGGAGGAGGATTGCCAGGAAAAGGAGGAGGGATGATGCAGGACGAGACAGGAAAGCAGGAAGAGGAAGAGGCTGAGGGGAGGAAGGACGAGGAGGAAAAGGAGGAGGAGGAATGCCCGAGGAGGCCCCAGTAGGTCCCGGAAGGCCCAGAAGGCTCCAGGAGGCCCCAAGAGGCCCCAGGAGGCCCCAGGAGGGGGCAGGAGGCCTAAGGAGGAGGCAGGAGGAGGAGGAGGAGGAGGAGGAGGGGGGGGGAGGAGGGGGGAGGAATATGGAAACGAGGAGGAGGAGGAGGAGGAGGAGGAGGAGGAGGAGGAAGCGGATGAGGGAGAGGGAGAGGAGGAGGACAGGGGATGAGGAGGAGGAGGAGGAGGAGGAGAAGGGAGAGGGAGAGCAGGAGGAGGAGGCAGGAGGCAGGAGGGGCAGGGGGAATGGGGGGGAGGAAGCATAACGAGGGGGAGGGGGAGGAGGTGGAGGAGGCAAGAAGAGGAGGAAGAGGCAGGGGTTGAGGCAGGAGGAGGAGCAGACAGGAGGAGAACGAGGAGGCAAGAGTAGGTGGGAGAAGGGGAGGGGCAGGAGGATACCCCCATGCAAGCTAAAGAGATTCTCAAGCGGGGTCCTTCCGTCGGAGTAATTTCATTGTAAGAACATTTTGCCGAACCGCTACGGGGGAATCAAGACGGCCCGCTGCTTCTCAGGTCAGGGCTCCATGGGCCCAGTTCGGACGCCCGGGCCCTCAGAATCAGGAGACGGTCAGGGAGTTAGGATGCAATTCGTGGGAGGTTCAAGTCAGAGTCGGCGCATACATATCTGCGGTCGCAAATTGGCAAATTCCTGTTGAATCCCGCTCATTCCGGCGAAATCACGCTTGATACGATTTCGGCTTAGTTTGGTGACGAAAAGAGCGAGGTACGAGTGAGTTCCGTTGAGTTGGGGCGAAGCCCTTAAGGGGGGGTCCAGGGGGGGGGGGGCGAGGGACCGGGGCGGGGTGACGGAAAGAGCGAGGTACGAGTGAGTTCCGTTGAGCTGGGGCGAAGCCCTTAAGGGGGAGGTCCAGGGGGGGGGGCCAGGCGCACAGGCGGGGTCTAATGGCTTTATTTTGGGGTTTTCCATTGGGTTTTTGTACGTTTTTCTGATTCTCCCTCCAGACGGCCGAAGAGCGCTCCAAGAGAGCCCCAGACCGCTCAACACGGACCAAGGGGCCCCCAAGAGGCGCCCAAGGGGCGTCCCAAGAGGGCCCCAAGAGGCCAAAATCATAGATTTCCAGAGGCAAGCGTATATTTTTAGCATCTACGGCTTTTCGCCTTTTCCCGGCGTTGACGACGGCCCAAGAGACCCTCAAGACCGCCCCAAAACGGCCCAAGAGGCTCCCAAGAGGCTCCCAAAACCCCAAGAGGGCCCCCAGACGGCCCAAGAGGCGCCCAAGACGGCCCAAGAGGGCCCCAAGACGGCCCCAAGAGGGGGACCACGAACCGGAAAGTCTAGCCTATCGCCCCAAGGCGTTCCCGGGAGGCCCCCACAGCCCCCAAAGAAGCCCCAAGAGGCGTCCGACGAGGCCATCAGGAGGCGGAAATCATGGATGTCCTATAGGAAAGCATACATTTTTAGAATACACGGCTTTTCGGCTTCCACTGCGTTGAAGACGGTCCAAGAGGCCCCCAAGACCGCCCCAAGGCGGCCCCAGAGGCTCCCAAGAGGCCCCCAAACAGCCCAAGAGGGCGCCAAGACGGCCCAAGAGTCGCCCAAGACGGCCCAAGAGGGCCCCAAGACGACCCCAGAAGGGGCACCACGAACCCGAAAGTCTAGCCTATCGCCCCAAGACGCTCCCAGGAGGCCCCCACAGACCCCCAAGAAGCCCCAAGAGGCCCCCAAGAGGCCCCCAAAGGGGCTCAAAAAGGGCCGCAATAGGACCCCCAAGAGGCGCTCAAGACGGCCCAAGAGGGCGCCAAGACGGCTCCAAGAGGGGGACCACGAACCGAAAAGTCTAGCCTTTCGCTCCAAGACGCTCCCAGGAGGCCCCCGAGCCCCCCAAGAAGCCCCAAGAGGCCCCCAAGAGGCGTCCCAAGAGGCCACCGGGAGGCGAAAGTCATTGATATCCGATGGGGAAATGTACATTTTCAGCATATAAGGCTTTTCGGCTTTCATTGCGTTGAAGACGCTCAAAGAGGCCCCCAAGACCGCCCCAAGGCGGCCAAGAGGCTCCCAAGAGGTGCCCAAAACGACCCAAGAGGGCGCCAAGACGGCCCAAGAGGCGCCCAAGACGGCCCAAGAGGGCCCCAAGACGGCCCCAAGAGGGGGACCACGAACCGCAAAGTCTAGCCTATCGCCCCAACAAGCTCCCAGGAGGCCCCCAGAGCCCCCCAATAAGCCCCAAGAGGCCCCCAAGAGGTTCCCAAGAGGCATCCAAAAGGGCCCGACAAGGGCCACAATGGGACTCCCAAGAAGGCCCAGAGACGCCAAAGAGAGAGCGATCGGTAACGCAAAATGCTCTTTACACCAAGGCTCCCAAGAGCGAAGGGTGACGTAAACAAGCTGATAAGACCAAGGCTCCCAGCAGGGAGCGAT